TTACTTTCATTAGAAGAAAACACCACACACTGGGTTGCATATTATGTCCCTCTGAGCAGGAAGCTGAGTTGGGGAGGATGTGGCAACACTGATTGGGCTGCACACACTAGCGTGAATTAAACAAGGACCTGCTCTACACACAGGGTCAAGGAAGAGCACAGACAGCTGCAGAGAGATTATTAACTATAAAAATACTCTCATCCAAGAAGCTGTTAATGGCCAGCAGTTCCACACATAAGCAATCACTTTCTAAGCAGAGAAGGGTCTGGAACAGTGCAAGGGTTGGTAAACGCACACCCAGGGTCATGAGCACAGCTAGTCACAAGGCCAATTGACTGGAAGCAGTAATGAATCTGCTACTGCATCTGCCCATCCCGGCCTCTCTGCCCTCCACCTTTCATTCCATACTAGCAAACACATTCATCCATCACAGCCCGGTACTCATTTGTAGGCTCTCTTACTGCTGCCACCTGTAATGTCAGCATGTGTTAGACCAAGCACAGCACCAAGTGTCAAGTCCTCAGAGAAGGAAGCTGCAACAGTAACAAGCCTGGCACTAAACTTCTCAGGGTCCCAGGGATCTCACAAAGGGACAGAAATAGAGGTTGCGGACAAGGTAGGGCACACACGCCTAGAGCAGAGGTCTATGCAGAAAAAAAAAAAAATCAAAGCAACATACCTCCCTCTAGTCTCCATCCTTGGAGCTATTCAAAAGCCATCGGGACGCGGTCCTGGGAGACCGTTTTTGGGTGTCCCTGCTTGAGCAGGGGAATTGGAGCAGGCAGACCTCAGAGGTCCCCATCCAACCTCAACCATTCTGTGACTCTGTGATCTCTTCCCTCTGAGCAGAGCGCTCTGGGCAGCACGGCCATGCTGCCACGATAGGCTCCAACGGCCCTGGTTTTGTAGGGATGTTGGTGAGCCTGCAGTCTTCACCTCAGCACACATGTGGGCTCCTGGGTAAGGTACTCCAGTGAGGAAAGGCACCAGAAACACGGGCTGGACAGGGCTGGCTGGAGCTAAGCAAGACAGGCGATGCTTCCTCATCACTTGCCAGCCAGCCCTGTGAGCCAACCCAGCCCAGTCTCAGTACCTACAGCCTCTCCCAAATATGTCTGTCAAGGGAAGTTTGGAGAAGTACTTCAGGTAGGACTTGGGTGTCAGACAGCACTGGGCTGAGGCTACACAAAGCAGGCCCAGCCTTTGAAGAGCTGCCCAGCTCTGCCCTCCCAGTAAAACAGTCACCCAGCATGCAGAACCACTCACTTGTAAGAGAGCACATGATCTCTGATACTCTTCCATTCTCAGCACTGAGAGCCCACAGGATCACGACAGGTCTGAGGATCTTTATTTCACAGTTATCAATGGCTAGAGGGATGAGTTACATACTGTAGCATCCACAGGTAGGCAGCAGCAAATCGTAATAACAAAGTACTCCCTTTGGACTTAACAACAGGATGCGAGACTGCACAGCTGTGCTCAAGGTACCAAGGCAACTCCAAAGGCTGGCAGTGAAAACAAGATATTAAACCTGAAAAAAACCAACTGGCCCAACTAGGGCTTAGAGAAAAAAAATACTATCACATTGATGCCAGGGGAAAAAAAAAAAGAGTTCAAACAGCAGCAAGTAAGAATATCGCCAAAGGGGAATCAATAACATGGGCATGGATAGAACAGATAGGAGAGGGAGAAGCTCAGGGCTAGTCATAACCACAGCTGGACCAGATCACAACAATATTTCACTACATGGAGCAACGTGCCCTACACTTTTTGTGGTGTGTTAAATTAGCCTGCCTTCATCCCTCCCCAGCCAGCTCACAGTCCAGCAGTTAGTTGCAGCACTGTGTGCAAATACCACAAGTGAGAGCAGTCCACAGCTCCCCATCCCTCGTAAGGGACTAGCGTAATTCATCAGTGGCTTGGAAAAGTGTGAGCCACACAATCCACATGAGAACAAAGACAGGTGGAAGCTCTCGCCAGCCACACAGCATTGCTTGGTGCCCTGCATATGCAGCAGTCCCAGACAAGGCTACTGAAGTTGTGTTTCTGGCTACGCTGACCCCACCCAGTGGAGAGCCACACGGTAGGGAACCACAGCACTCCTCAGGCTGACCTGGACTCAGCCAGCATGTTGAAAACAAACAGGGAGACAATGGAAGTGCTGTAAGGGCTTGGACGCTCCACAGAGAATTAATATGGCCTGTAGTTCGAGTAACTGGAGAAAACAGAAATCTGGAAAGCAAGAAGAAAAGCAGATAAGTTCCTGTATCCCTTGGGCCGTAGGAGAAAGAGCATATAAAGCATGCATGAAGATTGAGCTTTAGAGCATTACACACTCCTGCACTGCACTGCAGAAGGGCAGATTTGCTGCTGTTGTGACTGAAGAGGCTTGGAGCGCAAGGTTACTTGCTTAAAGTGGCAGCCAGGTCAGCTGCAGAGCTGGAACTGAACGTTGGTCTACTGGAATCTAGTTTGTTGGAGGTCTATGTGCCTCCTCTACAGAACCCTGGAATCTTCTCACATGCAGCTCATGACTGAGAACACAGAAGTGTCTACCTGCTCCTCTCCATCTAGTCACTAGTTCAGCAGATGCATCTGCCACACTCCTACACTGATCCCAGACGGCTGTCTGCCAGGCAGTGCCAGACAGCTTCCTGGCTCCAGAGCACTGACTCATCTCTTGTTTTCAGTTTACATGTAAATTGTACAGAATAACATCACATTTTTAGGAGATCTGAGGTCCTCTCAAAATGCAGAGTTAAAAACAAAGCCCCTTCTCTACGGCCATTACCTTGTCCTTCAGTTGCTGGCAAAGCTGCAGTGAAACTGTAAAGAAGACAAGGGCATCGTTTAACCACGGGACAACACATTCCACCTTATGGACATGGCTGACTTCATACCGCTGGCTGCCAAACTCACTGGAGTGGGGGAAAAAAAAGGAGCAGAGCTTCACACACAAAGGCACAGAACACAAAACTCACCTGTCCTCCATTCTCCCAGAAGAGATCATTATGATTTCTATTACATTTAAAACAGCACCTGGCAAAGTTATAGAATGCAAACTCTACCTCTGACCAGACTCCCAGTTAAGCTAAACCTAACAGGGTTAAGGTAGAAACTTTACCACCTTCCAGAGAGGCACAAAGGCAGGAAACGCAGATGGCAATGCCAATAGCCTCATGTTCATTTTGGTTGACAATTCTGATCTCTAAACAAACTCACGGCACTGCGTGGGTGGGCTGTATCCTGACAAGCCACATCTTTGGGCCTTTATGAGCAAGTCATTAAAGAAACACTATTATGGGCACCTGTGTATTCACAGGCACAGCCACAGCAAGTGGCTTGGTCCAGCTTCTCCACTTGACAGCTGCTATAACCAGAACTGCATCCAGCCCCTGGGCTCTCATCCTCAGCATCCTCCCATACCTGTTTCACAGCCCTTGGAGTGACTGTACTTACAACATGGCTCCAGGGTAGTGTAAAATGGACCCTCCAGCAGGCTTGAAGTTCTAGAGAAGGAGGAAAAGGTCATTAGGATTTTGATGCAGTAAACAAACTGCTTAGAAGGAGGACATATAAGGTTTGCACTTTCAGTAGCCTGACATCAGGAAATGCCTGTACTGTATCTGCCTGAATACTCCATTCATATGGAATCCATGTCATCTGAACCCCTCCTGCTCCTTCCTGAAAAAAATTCTGAGCGGCTGAGTCCAACTTAGCTACAAATTTTAGCACCACAAAAATAAGATGAGAAGATCCAGAAGAAAAACAAAAGGGAGATTTTAGGAAAAAATATCCTCTTGGAAGGACTGCATTTCATAAAGCTTAAGAGTTTAATTCTGTTTTTACAGGACATCAGGCTGACTCAAATGCTCCAGGTGAAGCAGGAAAGTATCCATCACAACTCCATTCAGAAAACCCAAGATGCTACTTTGACATAAACTGGATTAATACAATTATGCCCTTCCAAAATTAGGCAAAATTCTCAAACTATATTGTAAGTAAAAGCATTACTTGGCAAAAAATAGTTACTGGTTTTCTCCAGAGCACTGGTATTTTCTTCTGGGCTAAGTGGCCATGCCCCAAACTAGATTTAGAGACAGTGCTCTGTCTGCAGCATATCTAAACACAGACACTTAACACCCACATTTCTGCCTTATCTTATGCACATAACATTGCACCATGTACCAGCGTGATCTCCTCACAGTGGGGCGTAGGGAGAGGTAAACAGACAAGGCTGAAGAGACAGTACGTGTCACCTTGGTTGTGCTGGGCTGCAGCACATGGAGTTGGTAGACAGTCAGGCACAGTTTATTCAGGCTAATATAGAAATTCACCAGGATGTCTGGAGGCAGAGCAGGGGTGAACATTTTCTGGTGAGAAAATAAGCAGTTTCTTTGTCAGTAAAAGGACCATTATTTCTAGTGCTGGGAAATCACTACCTTTTTCTAAGCCATACTACAGTTACCCCATAATGAGAGGGACATAAGGAAAGAGGCAATGAGCAGCTTTCAGGCAACGGTTGTTCCTCTTGCTGCACTTGATCAAATGGTGTGTGCATGACGGTGACAAAAGAGGATGGAGCAGTGTTCACAGGGGCAAATCATCCCTGGACAAGCTCCCCGGGCAGAGAACAGAACTTACTCTCTGAGAAGCAGAGTTCTCATGCCCAAGTCATCTGCTTTCCCAGAGGAAGATGGTCAGGGTTTACACCTACTTTAGCTCCCTCTGCCTCAGGAGACACTTCAGAAATCCACTTCCACCAGGATGCAGCACAATATCCTAACTGTTGCATGCTGACAGACTGTAGGAAGATCTAGACCACCCCATACTTACTGTGAGACCACTGGAGGCAATCTCTGGTAGAGTCAGAGTGGCAGGAGTGGTAAGCCGATTTCGGGCTCTTGAGAGCTGTAACATCACAGCATCCATAAGCTACAAGATAACGTACAGTACACTGCTGAGTGGTGATCCCTGGACAGCGTGCTGCAGAATCCTACAGCCTTTCGCGAGTATTACAACAACAATCACCACCACCAACACCACCCCTCCACCCTTCCAGGAATTCAGGGACTTCTTGGGAAGGAGTGGCTTCCACAGAAAAGCAGTTTAACTGTTAACACCATGATAGACACTCGTGAGACAGGCCAGGAGTGTTTAATACCAGGGACTGGAGACCAGCTATTCATCAGAAGAATAAAAAGAGAACATGAGATCAATTACTGATGCCAAAGAAGCATTGACAGACTCATCATCAGCTCTTCTGAAGAGCAGGCATTAAGGAAAAACAACAAGCTGTGTTCTAGTTCTCCCCATTGAGAGCTGTCATGGGTACAACTGCTGAATGCCTCCCCCCCCTCCCCATTCATGACCATCTAAGAGCTAAGGCACTAGTGAAAAGAACCAGCTCATTGTGAGTCCAATCCTGCCAGAAACCACAGTTCAAAGGCTCTATTCAGGCAGACTTCCTTTTCCAGAAAAAAAAGTGGGAAGCAACCTATGTCTGTTACAGAGCTCATGAGTGCTAAGATGAAGGCATTTTATATGACGACTAATTTCTCCCCCCTACTTCCACCTGAAAGCAAAAAGGATATAGTTTTAGTACCTAGCTTCTTCCTTTTAGCAGCCTTGCCCACGTGGAGACTAAAAAGGTTTAGCCTTCTCACGTTTGATACTGTGATCGATTTTAATGAGTAAGTCAAAAGTCTGGTAGTGTCAGAGAGCATTTCCAAGCAGAGGGCTGGGCTTCATTGCCATGCAGCAGCTGGTCTGTATCAGACTGTATCACCTACTACTTGCAAGTGAGAAGTCACTTTCAAATCGTGAGTACTAACTGTAATCTTTTGTTTGCTGATGACTGCCTCATTTCTTCTCTCCCCAAAAGCACTGACTGACAGGGAAGAACACGAGCTGTGGAACCACATCATCCAAAAAAAAATCAAGGGAAATGCTCCCAGAATATCACTGCTGTGCAACAAGGCCCCAACTGCTCAGATCACCATTCACCGTGATGTACAACCCTGCTACTGATGCTAAACTGGTGTAGATTGCTATCAAATACAAGGTCACATGGATAGTCCCTGGTGCAGGTACATACGGGTACAACTGCGGAATTAATCTCCAGTCAGAGACTCAAGACACGAACTGTGCATGAACTGTGTTTAAAACAACAAATGGAGGGAAAAAACTGCACGTTCCTACCCAAGTAGAGAGGGCTTTCTCCTCACCTTGAGAACCTCCAAGCCTGTTTTGAACTGGTAGTTGACATCTCTGTTCATAAGCAGGTAAACAGCTTGGTTAACATGGTTTCTAGCATCCTGGATCTGCAAAGGTACAAATGCAGCACTATTAAACACTGTAATACACACTAGGAAGCAGAGATTACCCCGATTGTCTTGTTGGCCCTAATAAACTGGTGACTTCTCAAATGTTAAGGCCATTTGTCTCTGAGTACCAGACACTCGCTAACACAAATCTACCACTGCTGCCCAGATGCATTATTGGGTTCTTCACTCAAGGGCTCGAGATGCCAACCAGCCTGACCCACAAACTGTATAAAAAAATAAAAGTCAATAAAAATATTGCTGCTGCCCTGAAGGAACAGTGACATCAGGCACTCTCATCCTGGGAGGACTCTGATCATGACTGTTCAGGCAGGAATTCTCACTGCTGATGGTACATGGTAGCATGTATAATGATTTCTTCCTTAGGAACTATCAGAGCTAAAACTAATGCTGTAAATCACATCAATAGCAGAAATGAGTAGCATGTATAATGATTTCTTCCTTAGGAACTATCAGAGCTAAAACTAATGCTGTAAATCACATCAATAGCAGCAATGAGTAGCAAACATTGATTTCTAATATAGCATCTCTGGCAGTATTCCAGAGTCCTTCAAAACTATAATTGTTGGGGTTGAGCATTATCTCCAGCATCAAGAAGCTGCCATCGTGCCACTTGTGTGGAACTGGACCAGACTCAGGACACAGCTAGCTCAAGTCGCTCTCAAGCAAGATCGCTGGCAGCCGGGAGACAAGTACCAATGTAACGTTGAGAGGTGTGTCCCAGTGCTTTGATGGGAACAAGGACAAACCAGAGGAAGAAGAAAATGGCCCTGTGAGAAAGTGTCTGGTGTTCAGTTCCAGGCAGCAGCAGGAAAATTGAAAAAAAGCAAAGGGGTAAATCAGAGGGTGCAATAAATGGAAAAGGTAAGCAGAGAAGCTTGGATGAGAGGTGGCTGCTGAGAGATGGATAAAAGCTTGGGATAACTGTACTTTGATACATCTACACTGCTCCCCAGCAACTCCAGATCCCAGCTCAGCCTTATAGAGGCCTCCCTGGCATAGATCTGGGCACTAGTTCCTTCTCATATAGAGCTCAGGGATCACAGGACAGCCCTGCTTTTAGAAAGCACAAGGCACCAGGGGCTACAGAGAGGAGAGAGAGATGACGAAGTCCACTGTCAGGCTGCAGAGAGACTCTGCAGGTACCAGGGCTATGGCATCTCCAAACATCACCACCTCCATCCACTATATCTCCCAGATGCTTTTGAGCCAGCTAACTGGTTCCTGGCAGTGTTACCCAACCCAGCAATGCCAATCCTTGCTGTTATAAGGACTTGCTTCATTCCTATTCCCCCTTGATTTTTCTCTGTTTTCTAATCAAGTTCCTCAAAACTTGTGCACCTGCACTTGTGTTCCTCAAAAATGTGCCTAAACTACAATTTCTTACCAATGACTTTATCTTTGCCCAGGGAAACAAAACTCCAACTGGCACCATTCACTAAGGGAAAAAACTCACAATACTTTGGGATGCTCCTTTTTAATTCAGCCAGGACAAAGATCTCCACATAATCACTGTAAATGCTTCTGCACAGAGTCCTTTAGGCACTCACATTCCATATCTGAACATTAAAATACAAAACTCTTCCAAATAAATAAGGGAAGGTGCTTTCCATAAAAGCTGGTAGAATCCTGTCAACCAGGCAGTACTAAATACCCGCTGCTGAGTGTTATCACAAAAACTTCCTTGCCTTGTTGTGAGGCATAAATAAACCCAGTTGTTTGGCATTAACATCTCAAGCACACAATTTTCTAGATTTCTACAAAGTTACAAGGCAGAGCTTCCACTCCACTGCCAAAGCAGTCGTTGGAAACTGCACTCAAGACCAAATGGACTGATCACCTAAAGAAACCTGAGCCCTGGCGTAGTGAAGCACACGGAATACATCTTTCTCCCGGCAAAATGGTGGGAAAGAGATTCAATGTTCTTGACAGCCGCATGCCTTTAGCTCCTTCACTGAAGGAACTCACCTGTGCTACAGGAGCACAATGCAGTGAGATCTGTTCTCAGCATAAATGCTTCTGTGTAAGTGAACGAGAGCAAGCTACTCAAAGCCTCTGAAGTCACTCTTTGCACTGCTAGCCTGCACAAGCAGACACAAGGCTAGTACCCCAGGCACAGCTTGTACAGGACAACGACTGCTATGCAGACAGCCTTCAGCTCACTGGTGTTTCAGGAACAAGCAGAACCCACGCTGCTCTCCTAGCACCAGAACTGAATTTAATTGCTTCTCTTTACTCACTTAGCTTTTAGCACTGGAGCTAATGTGGGATGGACATAACCTCTCTCGGAAAGCAAGGGGCTACAACTACTGCTTGGAGGGTGCAGACACTGCAGAGAGGTAGGTTTCCAAAGTTAACAGTACCTGCTGCAATTTCCACTGCTTGTCTTCCCGAAATGCAAAGTGCAGGAGCTGATTATTTCTAGGCATTTTCAGATTAACATCCTTAAAGAAAGAAACAAACATGTGAGAACAAGCAATCCCCAAGTGCAGACCATGGAGACTGCCAGTCCCACTCCATTCTGTGTCCCAGACCATTGTGGCAAGCTGCTTTCAGCAGTCCCAGCACGGACAGAGCCTCAGTCCTCCTACAGAAAGATGTTAATACAAAGGATCATTTGAAAGGCATTTAGTGAATCGGGATCCAGACAGGACATACGACCTCATCTCAGAAGGTCCCCAAGGAAATCTGATATTCCACAACAAAGGCAGTAAAGGCAAGGAATCCCCAGGAAAGTCAACTCCACAGAGTGTGTGGGTGTGGGGGTTAAATGCTGGATCTTGACAAATTTCAACAGTTGCTGGAACATTAAGGATTTAAGGCCTATTAGGGAAGACTGACAAAGAATACTTATTGATTGCCGGTAAAGCATAATAGGGATGACCTCTCCCTTGAGCTCATCAAACTGTAATAAGGATGGCTCCCCCTCACCCCTTGATGGTAGTACAAAGCAAGAAGCACAGCAAGTACTCACAGCTTGACACAGAGCATCTCCCTGCAGCGTCAACACACCTTTCACCTGGTCTGTGCTGGAATGAGAAGAAAGATCTGGGCAACACAAGCCACAGGAGGCAAGAGACACCTACCAAAACTCTCCACTGGATGCTGCCCCGCCCTGCCTCATGGCCAAGTTCCCCTCCTTCCAGGGCTCAGCTTGGGGATGCAGATGAGCTCCACACCCACTCTCAAGTCCCCAGCTCTTGGCCTGCCGTCAGCTGCTGTCATATTCTTTATGAGCCCCCTCACCCTGACTGCCCTGCCTCAAGCATGACGTTCATTTCTGATCCCACGCATATTTCATGTACTACCCATCAACAATTTGGCTGCAGTTACCAACAGCTCCAGCAGGTACAAAACAAGATATTCCAGGAATTACTGACATCAGAGTGCTACATGGTTCACATGGGAGCTGAAAGCTACAAATCCCAACCTCCAACAAAAAAACCCCACCCTAAATAAACAAAAAAACACACCCCAAACCCTCTAAAAAGTCCTGCAAGATGGTTCACATCTACAGTGAACAGCAGGGGAAGACTGAAGCACCTGGGCCTTCAAGAACTCAGGTTAGCCATACCTTACGTTTTCATACACTAGACAGAGACTCTTTACATCAACACTTATTAAGATCCACCTTGCAACAACAACGAATGAAAAACAGAATCAACTTTAATACTTTAAGATCTGAAGAATGCAACCTTCAAACCCAATAAAGAATCACTGCACCATTCTATAAAACACTCACCACGCTGCTCCTAAGGACTGAGGTCTCCTACTTTGCAACAAGCTTGCGACCGCTGCCAGAGCGCAGCTATTCAGACCAAGCCTATGCTGGAGACCAAAAAATGGACAGCTATTTCAGAGAGCGGCACTCCTACAGCACCTGCTCACAGGTCTCACTTTGCTCAGTGCACAGTAGATTTATTATTGTTATTTTAGGGAGATTAGGAACCAAGATTTGTCTACAGTCAGAGTCAGAAACTGAGCTAAGAGCAGAATTCAGATCTTGTAACTGTGACTCCCTGCACGCAGAATCAGAAAAATGCCCCTTGGCAAAACTGCTGACAGCAGCAGGCTCACGCAACACACCAGCGCGTGGTTGGGAATCAACGGCTATGCTACAGGTGTCTGTAGGAACTGGCACGAGTCTGGGTAAGGCAGCCCCTGGAACACGGCTCCAGACTGACACATTAACTGCCGTGAGAGCTTGTTCGTTTGTTTTCCTTAAGGCGAAATCTCCCATTAAAGAAAACCCCTTTACTCTGGGGGGCTGAAGAGACCTTTGCTGTAGGCACTGAAGGAACAGTGCTCTCTGCTACTGAGGGGAGCCCCTGGCACAAACACAGCCATCACCAGGAGCGGGCACAGCAGCCCCCGCCGGAGCAGCCCGGCACAGCGGCAGCGACCCACTGAGCGCCACGACCACTTACCCCAACATGCTCAGCACAAAGTTCTCCTGCTTGCCAGCTCCTCCCGCGCCACCGGCGGGCAGGGCGAACCAGTGAGAGGCCTCCTGCCCAAGAGAGGACACAGTGAGAGCTGGATCATCCACCTGGGCCCAAAGTACCACAAGCCAGGAACAAGGACAAGGCAAGAGCAGAAATGCAGACACTGGCAAGTGGCTGAACGCGGAGTGGTCACCCTTGCCAGCCTCCCTCAACACACCAAGCAGAGCACACCAGTTTTCCCTCATCCTCCTGCGGGACAGGCGCAGCCCAGGGGAAGGCTCAGTGCAAGGACAGGCTGAGAGAGTTGGGGGTGTGCAGCCTGGAGAAGAGAAGACTCCAGGGAGACCTTCCAGTGCTGAAAGGGGGCTACAGGAGAGATGGGGGGGCTCCGGATCAGGGGGTGCAGGGACAGGACAAGGAGAATGGTTATAAGCTGAAAGAGGGGAGATTGAGATGAGATGTGAGGAAGAAATGTTTTCCTGTGCAGGGGGTGAGGCAGTGGCCCAGGTTGCCCAGAGAAGCTGTGGATGCCCCATCCCTGGAGGGGTTCAAGGCCAGGCTGGATGAGGCTTTGAGCAACCTGGGCTGGTGGGAGGTGTCCCTGCCCATGGCAGTGGGTGGCACTGGATCACCTCTAAGGTCCCTTCCAACCCAAACCATTCTGGGATTCTATGTGCAGCTCATGGCGAAAGGTATCGGAAATCCCACGCTCCAGCTCTGTGCCCCGGAGCCTGGCGAGGCAGCCAGTGCCGAGGGGTTGCCAAGCTGTCTGCAGCAGGAGCAGCACTTGGCACAGCCCGGCCCTGCACACCCTCGGGTGCCGTGGCACTGCCCCTTTCTCAGTACGCTCGCTGCCCAGGCTGCACAGCACAAGCACTGCCATTCCCTTACCCACCTGGGAAGTCTGGAGCGGAAACCAGCCCTCCTGACTGGTTATACTGGCTGGTGACTGTCCTTTAATCACCCTTCACCCCTAAACCCATAACAATTTCTTCAAAACAGACACTGTATACACAGCTACTGCAGGTTATTGTCACCTGATACAGAGTCACAGTCTGGGTCAGTGCTACAGCCCCCCCCACTCCTCTGGCACCCACCTCTCACCTTGACATTTTTGCTCTTGCATCACCCAGTAATCCCCACCAAAACCTCAGAGTGTTAAGGGTCTGGGTCTGTTGAAAAGGAACCTAGCAGGAGAGCAGTGAACTCCTGTGCACACAATCCCCTTCGGCCAGTTCACCGCCTGGCTGCCGGCAAAGAGCCAAACCCAGCAGCCCACACTCAGCCGGGTGAAGGTGCTGCAGACCTGGGTCAGCTGAATGCTTCACACCTCTGAAAAGGGCAGGTACCAGCAGAGGAGTGGGCACATCAAGGGAAAGATGGTTCTGAACGAGGAGAGTGCATGCTACTAATCACTACACCAGTAGTAAATTGTCAGCCAAAGGCTATCGTGCTCATTTGCACCATCACACAACAGAGTTTCAGGCAGATCCAGATTCTCTGTTCCAGACAATATTCACATCTCAGGCAAATGCCTGGCAGACAGGTCTGGCCGCCTCCACGTGCCTCTTCAAAGCAGCTCTCTCTCAGGAAAGAGGGTCAAGAACAGAGCAATCTGGGGGAAACCAGCTTTACTGAGAGTCCTCCAGATTAAAGGGCAAGCAAACACTTGGGACAGCACTGGACACACATGACGGAGCCTTCTGCACACTATCTACCATGAATTTTATCCTCCAGGGCAAATTTACCACCATTCCTCACATGAGAGAGCAAATGCACAACATAAAAAACAGGTGAAACAAATTAACCTTACCTTCAAAATATCCTGCAGCTGTTTTAAAACACCATGGACCTCTTCTTGTAAAAGCCATTTAAATTCTTCTTCCTGCATTGTGGAAAGATAGCAGTGGAATTATTAGAAGTCAAACACTGGAAATACATCTCTCAGACACATATGAAAATGATTTAAGTTCTGAGTATACTCATATATATATGTATGTATGTCCATGCTGTTTAAATATCACACTAGCAGGAGAAGAAAAATATTTCTCCCTGATTTGTTGAAAGGCCTTAGTCTCCACTTCTCAGTCCCAACCAAATGAACTGTCCTCATTCTTGTTTTGACTTTGTTTAACAGCATTCATGCAAACCACAGTACGAATAACCACAGAATGAGGAAGGCAGGCAGCATGGGATGTGAATTTCAGATCAAAGTACAGATCCTGGTGCTTCAAAATCTGGGGCATCTTGTGAAGCTGCTGGGGTGGGCTGACCTTGGCTGGCCAACTGCCAGCCTCTCCCACCCTCCCTCCTCAGCAAGGAAATAAGACCAAAAGCTCATGGGTCAAGATAAAGACAGGGAGAGGCTTTACCATTACCCTCACGGGCCAAACAGACTCAACTTGTACACAAATTTGTTGCCAGTTAGGTGGTGAGAAGCAAAGACAAAACCTAAAATCCTTCTCCTCCTCCCTAGTGGCATTTCACCACGCAACAGTAGCCTAAAAATAAAGCAAGGTGAATTGAAAAGGGGGTGGGGGCGGAAAAAGGCTGAGGGCTCCCAACCCCCAATTTGGGCAAATTCAGTACCAAACAAGTTCCGATCTGATGACACAACACCTCGAGCCTCAATCAGTGGTCTGCTACAGAGAAGCCTGTATAAAGCAGATTCTCAAACCACAGCTAAGCATTCCTGTTAAACCACAAAACCCCACACAGAAAATCATCAGGGAAGTGGGGACAGAAGCAAGCAAGGGACAAAGAAGAGACTGACACTTCCTACTTTGTAAGACAGGAGGAATTGTTCAGGTGGAAAGTACTGGAAGGGAATGAACTGAGCAGGTTGCCTGTAGAAAAAATGGAAAAGTGAGGTCAACTCAGAAATTTAAGCCTGTGGTTTTTCCACTCAACAGTTCCTGTCATTTTGTGTTTCTCATGGTGAACAACTCACTGGTGTGTCGTCACCTTGTGCAAGGGTTATCTGAACAAAGAGCTGGACAAGGACGGTTTTGTTTCAGCAATGCTCACGCAAAGCAGGTACACATACCAACGGAGGCAGGATCCTCTGCTACCCTTCAAACCAGTGCAGGTGCAGATCACTGACCTTCACCATTTAATCCTGGTTTGGGTTTATGGGAATCATACTGACATAGTGGAGTCCTTGTTCTTCTGTTCTCTATAACACTCGCTCTCCTCCAGGTTCCCAACGGAACAGAAATCACACAGGTAAAGCACACGCCTTCAGTGCCTCCACCAACCCGCTGTCGCCACACAGATGTTTCTACTTCAAATCATCATTGCTGTCTTTCATCCCCGGAGTGACAGCAAAAGATCACAGAATCATAGGCTGGCCTGGGTTGAACAGGACCTTACAGATCATCTAGTTTCAACCCCCCTGCTGTGGGCAGGGTTGCCAACCACTCGAGCAGGCTGCCCAGGGCCCCATCCAGCCTGGCCTTGAACCCCTCCAGGGATGGGGCATCCACAGCTTCTCTGGGCAACCTGGGCCACTGCCTCACCACGCTCTGCATGAAAAATTTTCCTCCTAATAGCCAACCTAAATCTCCCCTGTCTTAGTTTAAAACCATTCCCCCTCGTCCTGTCACTATCCACCCTCGTAAACAGGCGTTCCCCCTCCTGTTTATAGGCTCCCTTCAAGCACTGGAAGGCCGCAATGAGGTCTCCCTGGAGCCTCCTCTTCTCCAAATAGATCCTCCCAGGATTAATTTCAGACTAAGTCAGGTTTGTGCACCATGTCTGTGCACCACACATCTGCGTTTCTGAGGAATGATCATTCCAAACCACACCAAGTTTAGAAAAACCTGGTTCTAACATGCGGCTTGCTGCTTAGGCCTGATGCATCTCCAAAATCCCCTCCGGGACAGGAAGCTTTCGCTGCTTCCTGCAGCTGGTGTCTCCACAGATTTCTGCAATGTCACCTGGTCTGTGTCTCACCTACCTTTGCCCAGCCCAGCAAACCAGGCTGTTG